TTTTTCCAGGTTTCGTTTTCTTTTCAATAAAGGCGCAGCTGCTGCCCTAGAAAACATGACGAATCTCTTTGTAAAGAAACCCAAAGATTATTGGAGCAACTGCAGTCTGTCAAATGTAATGAACGTATATTGCTAGGAAATGTATCTTAGTAGTTGTGAATGAATTAGTAATTTTATATATATGACATCACAGCCTTTATTTTATCGTCTGAACAATGGCATAGCTATGGAAGTGAATGAAACTAATTCAGTGGGAAGAAGTCGATAAGATTTGCTTAAACATTTTTTTAAATACTTATAAAAATTCAAATGTAAAATATTTAATCACGGCGCAATAAATAAAATAGGGGCTTATATAATATAATTATTTTTATAAATATTCATATATATATTTATACTCAGATAATTATATTATTTTATTGAGAATTTAGTCTAAGATGCTGCTATAGGAAAATGAATCAAGTTTGAGATAAATGGCAGCAATTTCAGCTTGAAAATATTTATTACTGTTATTTATTTTATTTATTTATTATAGAATATTTAAAATAAATTTGGCATATAAATAACTAAAATATATAACATTAAATGTGATATATAAATAACTGAAATAGTTAATATAAAATATATTAAATAATATATATTTGAATATATATAAAAGTAAATTTGTATTTAATTTTTATTATATTAATATTATTGTTTTTATACTTATTTTAAATATTATAAATTATATATAATAACTTAAAATATATATATATGTAAACATAATGAGAAGAAAGGCAATTCGAAAACAAATCGCTTTCTAGTCTATGAATATTAATGTGGCGGAAGTCGTTTGTACTCAATGCTGCTTAAAAATAACAGTTTGAAATTTATAAACTATATTGCAGCAAAGTTAATTGAAGTAAATATTCAAAATATATATAATATATGTAAAATATATAGAAAAATTTATTTTGCTTGAAAGTAATTTATTAGTAGATTATTATTAAACAACAAATTACTAGCTTAACACGCATAAGCTGACCTGATTGTGTGCGCAGTTATTACTCGCTTCTATTATCAGCAGACTTATCTATCGATTACTATTGATTACTGGTTGAGTTCTAATGAGTTGACAATTTTTTTTAATTTGAGGCTTAGTAGAACACTAAAACAACATTTGTTGTTATTAAATAGTTTGGCTTAGGCATCAAAAATATTTTTCTATGACTCAAAATATACAATATTCAATTAAGCATTAAAATTCATTCTGCTTTAGTTCTAGACTCTGCTAGATTTAAAGCAAACAGCTTGGCTTTCAAAGGTCGCGCAGAGCTCAGCTTAATTGGCTCGCAGGAATAGGCGTGAAATGTCTCAACTGCATTTGGCCAGACCTTTCAAGGGAAAGCAGCGCGGTCTCTAACCATTTTCATGGTTGCCAGCAAATTATCTATTTCGGGGTTTTTGGCTATGGTCGAGCGCACAGCGTGCGCTGGTCGCGATTGGAAACCGACAACGGCGACCACAGCAAGTGCCTGGGCCTAGAGAGAGAGATGGCTGGAGTGCAGGCCGTGGACACTCCCAGGACTCATAAACACATTATGCATGCCACCTTGGGGGTAGATCGCATAGGCAGAGACTTTTTCGCAGTCTCAACGAAATTTGTGTATTTTGTGAATGCAAAAAGTCTATAAAACCATAACGCGTTTTCCAGGAAACGGCACAGGTAAAGTCCTTCGACAATCCTCTACGGCTCGTCCTCTAGTTGTTTTCACAACAAACAATGTGCAATGTTTGTCATCTTTTTAAAGGTATTTTTGTAGTTGGCTCATAAAGCGATTATAATCGAAATTAAAACGCGCCTTTGTCTGCCAATGCCTTGAGACCCAAATATACGTATTTTTAAACGAGAGGTTTTTCGAAGCGCTCTAATTATGCTGATGTACGTAGTTTATGATTTGCTATAAAAACGTTTCATAGAACTAAAGTCGATGCGACACGGCATGACACGAGTCCCTGCGATTCGCCGACTTTGACTATTCAGCATAAATAAAGCATTAATTTAGCATATCGCAGGCCTGAGACTCTGCCGTCGAAGTGCTCGCATTGTGAGGTCAGGGTCCTGGGATCGCATGGCATGGATCGTGGCCAGGTGTGCGCCAAGACTCGTGTGACGGCATCTCACGCACACGCAACATGGAACGCGTTCAAAAAACCCAACACTCCCCGCCTCCTCTCAGCCAGAATCTCAATCGCAGTCGCAATCTGCTGGCATTTTTTGAATGCGCTGCGCAAAAAGAACGATCGAAAGTTCTGCTGCAGCCCCTGTCGACCGTGGACAGCCACCCCAAATGTGGCAAGACTTTCGAAATCTTATGCAAAATGTACAACTTCTCTGTGCAGAGGGTTGCGTCGCAGCGGTTCCCTGAGGTTCAGTTAAGCGCAACGACCTTTGTCTGGCCAGAAGGGGAGGCGCTTTCGGGCGCATGTCTTTTGGTATCGGGTCGGGGCTGGTTTTTACTGTACAGTGGTAACTCGCACGCAGCTGTTCTTTCGTTGCGCAAGAGCGTTCCTTAAAGGCTGTGCCAAAAGACACCCCAAAATTATAAATCGTCTTTTGCTTTGCCTCTATGAAACGCGTGTGAAAGTTTTTCTACCATCGAAGCTGGCCATGCTTCAGCCATTTTGTTTCGCCTACCTTGAGTGCGTCTGTCATCTGGCATTACGAATGGTTGGCTTCAGTCCACGATCCATTCAGCTACCTCTGCTCTACTCTGGGAATGTGGCAGAAGCGTGTGTGCAAAAGAGCAGGGCCCAAATTTCTATCTTCTAAGCATATATCGATCGAATAGTTATTGCTATGCATTTCTTGTTTTATTTATGAACGATATTGCAATAGGCAAATAGAAAAGGCAGGAGAAAATATAGCTGAATTCTTTTTTATGATAAATAAATTCCCTAAAAATGTTATGTATTTTTTTTATTATTACAAATAGGTTTTTAATGTATAAAAAATCATAGTTGTAAAATAAAGCAATGTACATTTTATATAATTTTTTTATTTAACAAATATAGAGTTCAGTGTGAAAAAATATATATTATACATTATTTTATATATATTTAATATTATTATATTTTTATTTTTATTTTATTCTTAGGGAAAACATAATAATGCTTAAAAAATTATTATAAAAACATTATCTTGTGCTCTTCCTGAATATATACTCCTCACTATCTGATGCATGGTTTCATATTCTACATTTAGTGCAGCTTCACAGTACCCCAGTTTCTTTTTAACAATTTTTTAGCCAAGTCCCAAGCATCTATAAGAGACTTCATAAATTTTGAAAGCAATTAATAATCATAACTAATACTTTAAAAAACAGAATATTGTTTTTATGTTTAGATCAATGAATAAAATAAAATAAAATAATTATATAGATAAAATAAAACTTAAAGATATATTTATTAAATATATTTGTAGGAATAAATAAAATAAATAAATTAAGCAGAATTTACCTCAATTATTTCTGATATAATTATGAATATATATTTTGTTATATTGTATATATATTAAATTATATATATCTTGGCAGCTTATCCTTTTAAAAGACTAAGATTTCAGTATTGCAGTTTCTGTCTAAGAAAAAAAATAGTTTTTGCTTTAATTATTATAGATTTCTTGGTCTTGGTGTTTCGTATGTGGAGCATGTGATAAGTGGTTCGAGTGATTAGAGAGAGCCGTAAAACAAATTTGAATGCCAGACCTTGAGCCAAATGCAATCGATAGTTGTGTTTGCGTTCGTCTATTAATGTGGGCTGTTGAGATTCTGAACAAGTCAAATGCAAACAAATGCGCCGATGTCCTTGATGGCAGCACTAATGTGTTCAAAGCAAAAAAGGACCAAAGTTGGCACAAGGATACATAACGAGATGCGTGCACAAGGTTATGTTTTACGATAGACACGGCAAATTTCCAGAGTTCCGTGTAATGTTCGGGCGATGACAGCGACAGCCGGACCGCCAGACAGGCTGAGGCGAAAGGCTGTGCGGAAAGGATGCGCAAAGTTGATGGCAAAGGGACAGAGAGACTCGATGCAAGAAAGGATAACTTTACGAGCTCGCTCGTAAACGCATTTGCATTGATCAATATGAGCAATGCCAATGGGTGATTATTTGCTTTGGTCACAATAAAAGCGACGGGTGGCCAGCACAATGCACATGGTTAGCCTTGCCAGCCTGGCCAGTGCAATTAGCGCAGCGATTAGTGGCTTGAGCGCAAAGGCTACAGAATGCACTAGGCTTCCCGGAAGACGGCGCACGTTTGTGAATATCGTACGTTTTTTAGCCAGCCTCTTTATTGCGTAAAAAACGTTCGGCAACTTGGCTCAGCAGATTACAGAAGTCAACTTTGATTCCACGAACGGCAATTGCATAAGCTGCCTTGCGTCGCCTTTATGAGTTGGAAAAAAGGCTTTGTCTGGTTATTTCGTTGAACTGAAGTTAACTGAACAGCACGGGTTTTGGGCAATATTAAGCCGAATCCTGGAATAGCTGAGTGCAGAAATTCTAGGAAATTCAGTTATATAAGAACGTTTCCCATAAACTCTCAAGTGACAGCCAATCATTAGGAAATCACTGCTAATTCCAAGCAATTCAATGGCCACATAAATCTGGGCTGCTATATAGTCGTAAGTTCAGCTTATCGCAACGAAATGCTTATCAAAATACGTAGATAAGTTGTTGGGCACCGAAGGCTTCTCACAGGGACATGAAACAAGATAAAATATAATACAAATTTGTAAGAAAAATAATTTTCCCAGCCCCACACAAAAAAAAAAATATGCCACAAACTGAGTAACAAGTGCGTGTGAACGGCACAAAGAAGCATTTAGAGGAACAAATATTCTCAGCAGCGCAAAAATGCTGGGCAAGGATCAGCAAGGATCGGGGCACACTAATCGTTTATTATGATCAACGAGCTGAATCAATAAAACGAAACCGAGCCAAACGATACCAAAATGAAGACGAAGCGCCTACTTCAGCGAGAGGCGAACCTGCAGGAACCTGTTCCGAGGGTTGGATGTCCTTTTGTGTGCGTTGGAGTGTTACCGTTTGGCCGTGAGAAAGCGGGCTAGCGGGGTAAGGATAACAGGTACAGGCCACAGGTACCACGCATGATGTGTATGCAAAAGTCACATTTCGTATGGGAATTCGAATTCCATCGCGCCGTTGCCTTGGGAAAGTGTTCACAATTGTGGACTTAACGGAGTGCTGGGAACCTTGGCAGGGGTGCAGCTATGTCGTGGGCGGTGTAAATTAAGATAACAGTATATTGTTGAAGATAAGTCTAGGAATTTGTCAAGCAAATGATAAAAATAAAAAAATAACTTTAATATCTTTTATTGATCTAAGATATGAGCGAAAAAATAGACTAAGAAACTTTTTTAATATATATATATATTTATAAACATTTTTATACGTGCTGAGGTATAGATATGATAAGTGAAAATAGCAATGCTTCGACTATACTATATAGCTGAGATCAATTCAATCTTATGAGGCAAGTGTTGGCAATTGGGTCTGGTCTGGACTAGGCTATGTTTGCGAGATCAACTTGTTCTAATAAAGGCGAATATGTTTGCTTTGCATCTTAATATTTTCACAATAATATTTAATATACTTTATATATATAATTTATATACATTTTAAAGTCATTTATAGGCTCATCTAGACAGTTTCTTCTGCAAGCGAAGCCGAAATCTTCTTAATAACATCACGTAATATATATTTTATCTCAGTCTCTCACCGTATCAATCCAAATGAAGCAAGCTCTCACTCTGTTCAACCCATCACATGTTACGGCCACGCCCATAGCTGCTCGAGAAACTCTTTTCAATGCGCCCAAAGGCGGACATAGCTATAACAATAAAATTTGGAACTTCCTTCCGGCAAGCGGAACTGCAGCAGTCGCTCGTTCGCAGCGTTCAGGCACATCGTGTAGAAATCTAAATTGCAAAATATGGAACATAGGTCACACACACAGAGCTCAAGCAGAGCTGGCTGTGGGAACCCAGGACGAGGAGAAGCAATTTGATTTGGGCCCACCCTCGCACCGATAGCATCGTCAGTGCTGAGAAAATCTTGTTTGTTGTGGCAGAGCCAGAAATAAATATCAAAGATTTCATCGTTCCTTTTCGAAACAGTTCGCTTTGTTAGCAATATTTGTATACAGAAACAGGTTAACAGGTATTTAGGCCGAGGATCAGTCAGGATTAGAGTGGCGAGCGTGTGATGGGCCGCAATAAGTAGACAGCACAGCATCAATGTTCTCAAGTGGGTGGTCGATAAGAGGCCCCGAAGCAAGAAAAACCCATTCGCTGGAGTCTTACTAAACCATAAATTAGTTAAAGAGTCGCTCTAGATCTAGGACAGCCCATTAAGCCAAAGGACCAGGGGCGTGTCAAGCAATGCATTGGTAATTTGATATGTGCGCACTTCTGGAGCGCGTTTCTCATCAGGCTAAGTGCTTGACGACAGGTAGTCCTGGCTCAGGCTCCCTTGAGTTGTTTTCCATTTTCTCAGTGGCGCAACAAATCGCAACGCAAACGCAAGCAAACACAACGGATGATCGATGATCGCTGCATTCTTTGTCCTTGGCCGAGGCGTCCTGTGGCGTTGGCGGCTCAGGCTCTAAGGAGCGTTAATTAGATTTACGCTGCACTCGAGCGGTGCGCATCAAAGCGTTGGTCAAGACTCGCGATTTGCTTGGAATCACACGCACAATCACGCAGCACAATAGATGCACCTGTGAGAAAGGACCGCACACAGTAAACAGGACATGCCAGTGGCCAAGAGCTGCTGGCGTTCCACTCGCTGACCTTTCCGATTCCTATTCCAATTCCCATTCCCACTCCCCTAGGCCATTGTAATTCGCATTTCCTCTTATTAATTTGAAGTGCCCGCACTTCATGCAACTGTTGCGCATCGCTTCCTTCGGTCGATGTGGTCCTGCCTGCCTTCCTTTCGGCTGCCCACAGTGCTGTGCTGCTCTCCTGCACTTCCTGTGGGTCAGCTCGAACTGCTGGCCAAAACATTCTATTGTTCATTAATTGTGCCAATCATTTGCTCACTGCGGGTTTGGCTCTAGAACGGAAGTGAATTCGATGGCATTGACGCTCAGGTGTATCAGCAAACTGAAATGTTTCCCAATGCTTTATTATGTGGTTTTATTTAGCTTAACAAGGGCATTAATTTGACTCTTTTGTCATACGATTGAAGTTAGTTAACTATGAGTATTATAATATTGCAATTGGCTTAAAAGCGAAGTGCGGCAATTGCAAATTGTCAAAGGGAATTGGCAAAAGGCATTAGGGAGAATGTGGTAAAGTACACGCCGTAAAGCTAACAAATTAAGTTTTGTTGACAAGTGCAAATTATTATTCAAATTTTAAACGGGCTTAGAAAGAAAGAAGTTGCTCCCGTAAATACAATTATAAGCTTTTGCGTAATAATTTTTATTATGATGACGCAGGCTGCCAAACAAACTGACGTCTTATTGCTATTGCAGTTGCAGCTTTAAAATTCACTTTCAATACGTCTGATAATTTTGCAAAATTATAGCCTAAAGTGTGTTAACTAAGTGTGCTCTAATTTCGTTTGGCTAAAACTGCTTTTAATGTAGTAAAGCCATGCACTGCTTATTAGCCAAGTTTCAAACCAGCACAGCAGTGTACTGCTTGGTGAGCACACTGCAGTGCAGCAAGCAGAAGCAAGTTTCTGCGCGTTTTGCGCGCGTTTTACAAGCTGTTTCTATCAGGTGTATTTTTTGAGAATTTTTTTTTGTCATATTTATCAGTTTGTATTTACATATATAGAAATTATAGAGCGAATAGCCAGCTCTTAAATCTCTTTCAATACATCAAAACTCTGACTCTTCATTAGAAGCCAACACATGTGCTCAGGCATTCAGTTGGAAGTCGCACAACTGTCGCATCCTTTGGAAGGTTTCTCATTTGCCGTTGCCGACTTTGAATTCATTTTAATTCGTTTTTATTTCTTTTTAATTTTTATTACATTTTCGTATATTAGCTTTGACTTTGCTTTAGTTGTATCCACTTTGAATTATTTGCTGTTTGTTTTCCGCGCTCGCGCATGCAGCCAAAAAAAAAGATCTAGACGAAATATACAAATATACAGCAGCAGCCAAGTTTTTTCGTATTGTTCTTTTGGCTCGGCTTATGTACGGGTCCGGTGTTTGGGTTCCGGGATTCTGGCTCGGACTCGGCCCGCGTTTTGTAGTTATTGTCCAACGTTGACTGTTTACGCCAAATGCGCGCCGCGGAGTAGGAAATTAAAAATGGCGAAATAAAGTTAAATTTTTTATGGCTTGCGCAAATAAGTCACACGGCCCAGCACTCTGTAGTCCACCGGCCACTGGTAGGATCCAGCAGCCACACCACCTCTACGGGCTGCCCAACGCTTGTTAAGCAAGAAAATAATATTAGCATTAAGCGTTTGTCTGCGCGCCTCGTGACAGCCGCGGCGCCATCCGTCGCTCTGTGTCTATTTTTTTCGACTTCTTTTTTATTTATTTTACGAAATGGGCGACAAACTTGCCATCATTTTGTGTTGGCTTACCGTTTTTTTTTCTTTGAGCCAACCCTTACCACCGGCAACTTGTAGTTTTTTATAGCACATTGCGCACATGTGTGGCGCCGCCAGCAGCAGCAGGAAGCACAGAGGAGCGTGGAGCATGGAGCACATCCAATTAAGCAGCGCTTGAAAAGCTCTAAAAAATGAGCTGCTCCAGGAGTGGGGCACGTGGCTGGCTTATGCCAGGGGCATGGGTAATGCCAAGTGGCTCTCTTTAAAGTTTGGCGGCTAAAGCTAAAATGAGTGTCAATTTGAGATGAAGGCAATCAAATAAATTCAGCGCAGTATTTGATGAGAGTTTTAAAATAATAATTTGTAAACAAAGAGAGTTGGGCATATATAATATATAGGTGGAATATAATTAGCTTGTGGGAGGTAAGCGATTGCAGAGCTGATTTCAAAGCTTAGCCAAGGTTTCGACAGGCCCCCAGGACTAGCTTTCTTTTGACTCTGGAATAAGAGTTCAGTTATACTTGAATATATTATTAATTAAACATTTCAATATTATTTCCAATTTCAGTTTATGCTAGTGAAGACCTTAGCTTATAAGAAAATCAAGTAGACACGGTTAGAAACCCAACAACTAAACATAAACTGAAAGCAGCTAAAATATAAGACAAAATATAAAAAATATAAGAAAATTCTTATTTAAATCTTTGTCTTTGTCTTCAAAGTCTCTCTTTAAGACACGCTTATTTGTAGTCACAAATGGCATAGCCCTTTATCATCTGTCTGAGACACAACAGCACGCCATACACTTCGAGCTCCTGCTGACCCTTACCTACCCCAACTGGCACTACCTGTTCGTGTCTGTTCCACATTTCCGAAACTGGTTTGCGCCCAATAACAAAAACAAGACCGAAAACAAAGGCAAAATGCTAAAAAACAAGTTGATACGTTGAGACACACTTGCACTTTCTTTCAATTAGTTGGCCAGTTTGTTTGTTTTTTGGTTTTCGACATGGGTTTTGCTTTCGTTGGCGGCTTTTAATACCCTAATTATCGCATATTTAAGCCGAGCCGCTGGCGTGGGGCGTGGGGCGTGGGTGCTGGCGCTGAGAAGCTTCCAATTATGGTGCGGCTCGCGTGACTGTCAGCTGTCAGCGCCATAGCCGGCGGCAAGTCTCGATGAAAGGCTCCGTTATGTTGGCGGCCAGCCAACAAGAGATTCGGACTTTTGAATTCTTAAGTCGCTGTCGCTGTTGCGTCTCACTCAGTGCTTTGTTGAACGCTGACCAGATCATGTGGCGGCCTCTACAGTGTCTGTGTTGGCTTTTCGTGTGCCATTTAGCTGTGGCTCTGGCAGTGTACGAGCAGTGTAATCATCAGCTGGAGCTGCAGGCGGGCCAGAAAATCTATATCAATTCTCCCTACTATCCTGGCCAATATCCTGCGGGCACTTCCTGTCGCTATGCGGTGCAAGCGCCCAAGGATCAGGTGCTACAATTCAAATGTGATCTGCAGCTGCAAACGGTGGGTTATGGAGGATCGAAGATGTTGTGGGATATGCTGAAGGCGTAACAGTGTTGGTGACATAACGTTAAGGATCACAATTAGGATTAAAGCTTAACGGCAACAAGTTTAGGTGCCTTAAGGCTTACTAAAAATCTATTACGGCTTGAGACGCAGATTTATTTTGTTTCAAATAGTCTAGTGAAGCAGAGAATATGATGTGAAAAATTTTAATTAATTTTCTGTTTAAATCGGTGGCCATAAGGAATGCTGACCAAGCAAGAGCAATACTATTTTAATGTACTATATTTCAGCTGCTGCTTAAGTTATTGATAACTTTTTAATCCTGAAATATTCAATAAGATTTGTCATTTGAGCACAAATTGCTTAATATTCGAAAATAATTCAAAGGTTTACTATTTTTAGATTTTACTAAAAATCGCTCTGCAGAACGTAGCTATTTGACGACTTACTTAATAATGAGATCATACGATTGGACAATTCTCTATTATCTTCTCAGAATTATGTGCTATTTCAAACATGATGGCACGAATATAGTTTTCATATATAACTTAAACCAGTGAAAAGCTAAAATTGATTTCATTTTATTGCAATTTCTTTCTCTATCACTCAGAAAATAGCTCTCAATTTTGATGATCCTTCTCTATCATTCTTATTTGGTCAAATCAACAAATAGCTCTCAATTTCCTTCTATATCTCTCTTATTTGCTTTCTAATACCACAGCACAGTAACTTAATATAAATATATATGTGCCGTATATACTCGTCCATCAGGCATTCTCTCTATATCATTTAGCTACCAATTCGAGTTCCATATTTCCATTCATCTCCATTTTTTACAGGATATCTTATTGTCATAGTTCGTTAATCTGTTAATTGTTGCACAATTGGTTTTTCTCTTTATTTGTATTTTTTGCTGGCGCACAGCTGGTGAAGGACACGCGCTGTCGCGCTGAGGTGTTTCACTTCAATGCCGAGGGCGATGAGCTGTTGACGAGCTCCGAATACTTTTGTGGCGTTGGCAAGTTTGAGCGGCAAAGTTTTCTGAATCGTGCCGTGATTTCCTACATATCGCAGCCAAAGGAGGCGGCTACAGCTGTAGGACCCGCTAGCTTGGTGCCAAAGTTAAGGGATAAGCTGCCAACGCGAATCACAAGCCCCAACAGGACCAGCACCAGCACGAGCACCACGACAACGACAACACAGGCAACCCCTTTGGAGCTGGTTGAGGATGAGAAGGAGGCGGGCGAGCAGCACGAAAATGCTGATGCTGATGCTGATGCCGATGATGATGATGATGATGATGATGGTAACTTTTCGAACGAGGTGCTGCACGTGCTGCAGGATGTGGGCGTTAGCGATGCTTTGGCTTACGTTGCCTCGCTGCTCTACGACGAGTCCAACAATGGTCGTCGAATTGGCAGCACGCCCGCTTCAACTAAGTTGGCCCAGTTGCCAAGGCGCACTGCAAAGACTTCCGCAGAACGTGCCAAAATTCTGTCCATTTATCCGCTGGGCAGCCCGGGCGGTGGCCGCTTCTCGTGCCTCGTCGAAGCCCTAGCGCCTAATTGCAATTGCGGCTGGAGTCTGACACAAAGGATCGCCAGTCCAACAAACGACGAGGCTGCGCTGCACGAGTTTCCCTCTATGGCCGGCGTGCTGACCAAGAAACACGGCAAAGTGTTCTGCGGTGCTGCAATCAGTAAGTGGACACAGCATCACAGGAGCGGAAATCAGTGAACATTTATTAAGCTTCGCCTCTTGTAGTTCATCGTCACTATTTGCTCTCTGCTGCACACTGTTTCCTCAGTCCCGAGACGAGCCACGCCTCCCAGCTGCGCATTGTGGTGGGCGAGCACGATCTGTCGAGCATCTACGAGACGTTTTATACGCGTCGCTACGATCTGGATGCACTCATACCTCACGAGCAGTTCAGCCAAGCAAATGGTCAGCTGCGCAACGACATCGCCCTCTTGCGCACCCGTACGCCCATCCTGTTCAATCGCAGTGTGGGACCTGCCTGCCTGCCCCTGCAGCCAGCCGAGAATGGCAGGAAATTGCCGCTGGTGGGGCAACAGCTGCTGGCTGCCGGCTGGGGCACCACTTCGTATGGCGGGCCACAGACGCATCGCCTGCTGAAGACGACGCTGGATGTGATCAGCGCCGAGCAGTGCCGCAACTCGCTCACCCAGGGATCTGTGCCAGCTCACAGCTTCTGCACCTACACCCCAGGCAGGGACACGTGCCAATATGACTCCGGCGGAGCGCTGTACGAGCGCAGCAATGGTCGCCTTATGGCTGTCGGCATAGTCAGCTACGGCTACGCCTGCGCCACTCAACAGCCATCGGTAAATACGCGCGTTGCCTCCTTTATCAAGTGGATCAGAACCAAGACGCCCGAAGTGGCTTATTGCTTAAAGCAAACATAAATGAGTTTAAGTAGAATAAACCATGTAAAAGTAAAATTTGTTATTGCCGAAATCTATTCTTAATGATTTGTTATAATGAGTATTACGAGCTGATTGTAAATAGAATCAAACTTGAAAGAGTTTTTCTTATATCAGATAAGCATAAGGTTGCTTTGTGCTTCCGTCCATCAATCAGTTCATTTAGTTATCAAATCAGAAGGGCAGTAAGTCAGCCAATCAGGCAATCGGCTTGCCGGCCAGTAATCCGTGTGAAAGTCGATCAGTTAGCTAGCTAAGTAGTTGGTCAGTCAGTAACTGTTATCCAGTCAGGCCAACACAGTTAATCAATCAGTTAAGTTAGCAAGTTCATCGCTTAGTCAGACATTTAGTCAGTTAGCCAATCTATCAGTTAAACGGTCAGTAAGGTTGAAGTAGTGACTGAATGAAACTCTTCAGTCAGCCAGAGTATCAAACAATCTATCGGTACATCAATCAATCAGTTAAGGATTCAATTGATCAGTCCAGCACTCAGCCAGTTAGAGACAGTCAGTAAAATTATCAATCAATCAATCGGTACATCACTCAATTAGTTAACCAGTAAATGAGCCATTCAGTGCGTGTCTGATAGTTCGTCAAACAGTTAGAAACAGTGAATCAATCAGTCCATCATCCAGTCACTCAGTCAGCCAGAGTATCAATCAGTCGATCGTTACATCAGTCAATCAGTTATCCTGTCAATCAGCTAGCAAGTGACAGTTAGTCAAACAGTCACAATTAGTCCATCAATCAGTCATAGAGTTATTTCCTCAAGAATACCCAAGATCTCCCAACAGTTCCCATATATACATAATGTGATACATCATCAAATTATCTCAGTCCATCGTCTTTAAACGAAGTGTTGATTGCCTCAATATCGAACTAGATGATTATCGTACCTGCTTACGAAGCTTTCAAATGATATCGTCCTGGCTTTCAATCAACTCCTGCTGCTTGCCGTCAAGTGGGTGTCAAGTTTGGCGCTATGCTTGAGCGGTCTGCCAACAGGCGCATCAGCCAATTGAGTCATCAATCATGAATGAGAATCTTAACGCCTCGCTGGCGCTCTATGCCCCGACGCAGATTGCAATTAAGCGCAAATGTCAACTAATTAACCTGAATGGCTGCTGGCAATAGCAGTTCGTGCAGCAGATACAACGCCCTCACCTCGTCCCCTCGCATCGCCGTTCGTGCCCTCTTCTGATGTTCTGTCAATAAAAATTGCAGCATTTTTGCAATGTTGTTGCTTTCTACTGATTTGTTTGGCTTTCGTTTTTGCTCTTTCCTTTTCTGCTTTGCTGCTTGCTGCGTTGCCATGTGATGTCGTCTTCCTTTCAAATAAATAATTAAACGTTTGCCATAACATATGAAGCATGCTTTTAGGCTTAAAGGCAATACAAATCATCTGCCAGTCACTGTCTATGCGGTTGCTGCCATTTTTTCTATTGCCCCTCAGCGAACGATTATATTTTTATTTGCACTTTTATTGCATACTCTAACGTGGAGTATAATGAAACTGGCATGAAATGTTTTTGTCTGTTTAAGTAAACATCAAATTTTTTTTGTTATTATTATTGAGTGTAAAACCTGTACAATCAAATTTAGTATCTTAAAAACACATGCATATATATGGAATTAGTGCCAAACCTCAGTCACATTATGAGGAATTAAACATTAAATTGAAAATAAATTAATTAATGTTGTTTCACTTACATTTATCAGCTATGACTGTTATTTCTACTCTCTTTTAACTTTACTGAAATAAAAGCACAATCATTAAACTTAGGGATTTCTTATTCCATTTTATTTAATGTTATTACATTTGATTTAATTTTATTTAATTTTTTCTATTTTATTTATATTTATTTATATTTATTTATTTTTATTTTTATTTTATTTTATTCCATTATAGAGCCTTTCAAGCTATTTATATTTTGCTGCAGCTCCGCTTGTCTTAGAAGAGTAAACTTAGTGTCTGTGGTAAGCTGTGCAGATCTTCTGGATGCTTGCTTCTTAGCTGTTTATCCATTATGCTTCTCCTTGAGCCTCGTCTGGCTAAACGGTTTGGCTGACTTTTAGCTGTCTATGCAGCTTGTGGCTTAAAGATCAGTTTCGATATCTATGCTAAGCATATTTTACCAGCTGAAGTTGCTGTGGATGGTACATTACAAATGTTGGTACATGTTGGTACATGTAATGTGGTACATTTGTGGCTTAAAGATCAATTTCGATATCTATGCTAAACATATTCTACCAGTTGAAGTTGCTGTGGATGGTACATTACAAATGTTGGTACATGTAAAATGGTACATTTTGAAAATTCTACTCACATTTGTTGGGCGTCTCTCATGTACCATTTCATTGCTCGAATACTTTGTCTTTTCACTAAAAATCCTTAAAATTGAGTTAAATGTTTTCCGCAAGTGTATTCAAGGTGCGGCTGGCCACGTTTACAGGCATTTTTTCATCTTGTTGCTGTTTTTTTCGTATGTTTATTTCTTTTCGCATGTTGGTCTAACTGCAATGCACTTTTCAAAACCCAGTCGCATATAGGAGCAGGCTCTCAGACTCCCTGTCTGACTAAGCTGTCCGTTTTTGAGGCTTTGCCTGCATTTGGGTGCTGTTGCAGTGAAAGAGTATAGGTCGCTCTTCTGCCTCTATGTGTGTGTGTGTGGATGTGGCACATGTCTGTGCCTTGTGAGGCTCGTCTGTTCGGTGCTGTTGTTCAATTTACGTAAAACGCGGCGACGTCAACTGCAGTCGGCGGCATCAAGTGCTGCGCATTGCCTGCACTGCCCGATGGGCGTGGCACTAGGCATAGAAATCGCTGGCATAGACTGGGGCACTAATTGAAAAGCAGCATCCACTAACAGAAACAACAGCAACGGGTTGAGCTTGCTCTGGGGAAATGCAGTGTTTTAACTACACTTTCAACTACAGTGAACACTGCTTAACATTGCTTCAATCGAATTTATTAATAGCTTACAAGGGAATCTTAGGTAAATGAATGCATGCAAATGAGTCTAGAAACCTCACTTCTGTCATTTTATTGTATAAAATCTCTTTTATGTGCTACTCTCTCAGTCGAAACGTTTTCAAATTTCCTTTGCATATTTTTGCGCTGCATTTGATTACAAAATGGCGTCGATGATGGGCGGCGCCCCGTCGGCCGTTGCTGTCGTAATACGCGCCTAAGCATTGGCGTTTAGTTCTCGTTTTGCTGCCTCGCCAGGCCACGCCACGCCAAAAAGTATGCAATGCGAAACGCAGCGGCAAGTGCGGCAAGCGCTTGGACTTTGACTATTCATTAGCGTGTGTGCCAAACTCTAACAAGCTCAAAAAGCAATTTGCAGGAGGCAGCTAAAAATTGGCAAAAATATCGACATGTCGGCTCATGGAATTGACGTTTTAGCGCGGGGCGGGGGGCGGTGGGCTGGGGCTGGGACTGGGACTGTTACTGGCTGGGTGGCACCGTTACATAAAACCACGCGTCGCACAAAAGCCGCCAAATCGTTGTACACAAAACACCGAAATACAAAATGGCCGCCATATCAATATAAAAGAGCAAATGACGGCACTTCCACAAATCGCATTCGCCCCAAAGTCGCCAATGCTTATGCAAATGACACAATTAAATATTCATTTAAGCACAAATATTGCTTTGGCACATCTCGTTACAAATCGTCCTTTACCACACTTTGGCGAACTGGCGGCGTTTTGCGCATTTGGAATGCATTTGTTGCACATTTTTTGCGCTGGCAAATATTTTGGATTTTTCGCTTTTATGTTTTTTTATCGGCCACAATGTGTGGTCAGAAATTAGGTTCGCTTTGTTGTCCACGTAGTAGGCCAATTAAATCCGTTCACATCAATAAAAACATTGCGAAATGCCTGTTTGGCCTTTTAGTTTCATATTTTAGCTACGCTGATAAACAAAGACAAATTAACACGTGACCAAACGACTTTATGGTTCGCTTTTGGTATTGGCTTAGCTTCAGTAATCAACTAAGACATTTGAATTACATTTACGTCTATATAAGACAGAAGACTTTGTATTTGTTTCTATCTGAAAGCCTATATATAGAAAAAATCGAGATAGTTTGCTCAGTAGTTAGCTTGTATATTATATAATTTAATTCCATATTTTGTGTGGTATTTATTTTTAGGAAAATTGCAATATATTTTTTCATAAAAAATTAATTAGGTTCTGTTGACATTTTCCCCTAGCTAGACACAATTAATTTTCATATATAAATACAAAATAATATATAATGGAATGAGCATATGGAGCTCTATGACTGGAGCTGTTATATAATGAATCTAGCGATTGAGAGTATCAGCTACGTGGATAGACTGACCAGCTCACATCTAAGCCTGGCTACCAATAGCAGGCAAAAGCGAATCTGATATACTTGTAATATAGTAGAATAAAATATAATATAGTAGGATAAGGCCCACAAACATTAAACCGCAACAAATTGAACTGATGAAAAAATGTATTCGTTGGAAAATTGCCATATAATCCATAATGATCAATTAATTCTTATAAATATGGAAAAAAAAGATTAATAGAAACACAACAAATTTTTATAAATATATTTATAAGCATTATAACACTTATCCAAACTTAAATAATTCGTAATAAAGAAATACTCGTTATTGCGCGAAGCTTTCCACATGAAAACGGAGTCGCGCCCATCACTGATGATCATCTAATGTGTATTGAAGTTGAATTGAAGTTGATGTTCGTTTGCCTGAAGCACCGTCTGTCGGCTCTTATCAAAGTGTGCGCCAGACAAAAGAACATAAACAAATTGCATTTTCGCTACACTGAGAACTTTCCAAAAATCAACTTTTTTCGAAACTCTGCCCAGTGATATTTCGCAAGCTTTGACCTGAATTCACCTTTCATCGAATGTCTGCGGTTCAGCAATTCTTTGGATCGTTTTCGTTGTTTCCAGTCATCTACAGTTTGCTTGCTGTTTGCCTTGCGCTGCATCCAGTTTTTGACTATTGTATTACTGTGCATCTCGCGAATAGAATCGATTGTAGTGCTCACGTTAGTATCTAGCAGGTTTGCGTTTTGTCGGTAGGAGCAAAGCGAAGAGGTTGCTTTTCGCATCATATTGAAGCAGTCGCGACGAATTAAGGACATTTTCAATGTGGCCACAATAAATCGGAATTTTGAATTTTGTTAATCTCAAAAACTCCGAATATTGAATTCGTTTATATAACTGGCTATACTTCTTAAGTACTTGTCATGACATACTACAATCCGACTGTAAGTTCATATATATGTTTATGTTTATATTTATATATATATATATATAGATATATATTTATGCGTTTTATACGTGAGCTTTAATATGTATATATATATATATATATATCGGCGCTTCTATGGCTTCAATTCATTATGTAAGAAATCCAAATTTAGCTCAAAAGGAAATTATTTTTTTTTGGTTTTTCGAATTTCTTTATTCAAAACTACCAAAAATACTCTTTGAAGGAAATACTGTTTTAAAATTTAAAATTTTAAAATTTGATAAATGTTATTCGGGCATTGATCCGTTAAATAATTAAACATGGTATGGGCTGGGTTTGCTATCTTACTTCATGTTCTCAATTTCAGTGCTATACAAAGTATTGCGATCAGATCAATAGTTGTCATGACTAATTATATGTTAGATACGTACTTTTCACCCTTTTGATTGCATTTATTTATCGTGTTATATATCATGTGTCCCATAGATCATGCGTCTGCGAAAGTCTGCCCATCGATATCTGGCATTCCAGTGTGATATGTAGACGTTGTCCTTTTTAATTTTCTGATGAAAGTTTTTGAAATTGATCGCATAAGTCGAAGGTGCGTGATGATACTCTGGATTTGGCTCGCGGCGCTGCGAAATAGCGTTGCTCTTTTTGCCATTTTGCGAATTTGATGCAAATTGCTGATGCGACTCGCGCTTGCGTTGGAGCAACGTTTTTTGAAATAGAGACAGAGTTCGACTTGAAGGCATTTTGATAAAATTGTTAAATTTAACACTCGATTTGGTTGTGCATTAAGATTAAATGTTTAACGCGTGATTTGGACGCGATTCAAAACTGAGAAACTCTCTTATCTGTATCTAAGTAGAAAATTAGTAAGTTTACATAATAGCTCGACACATAAAACTGAGGCAACATTGTTTTGACTGTAGAAGCAGCGACATGTTAACTATGTTGAAACAAATAAATGGGATTCTAGGACTACTAGCGCAAAATCTAGAAGTTGTTCCAGTCACATTTATAGATTTTTTATTGGTCAGTCCGTCGCGGCTTTTCTTTCTCCTTGGACTGCCTGCCATCTTAGAAACAGTAGTTAGTCTGCATTAACTTTGAAGATGGAGACCTTCAATGTGCTATAGCTAAGCACAGTCTTCTTTCTTGCAACGAAGTCAGACTCTTGATGTTGATGTTCTTATCATTATTATCGAACAGTGAAATAATCATTCTTTAAAAATGTATATTTTTATTTTTTTGCAGCCCAAAGATCACGGTATACCGCGTATAGTTCACCTCCTTAACTCTACTTTAGTTTAATATATGCAATTAGTCTGAGCTCTGGCCTATCTCAACTGCAAGTTTTATAATTTAGACCGTTCTTAAGGTATTTCCGTGCTTGGCCATTGTCTTTTATTATTATTTGTGAAGAGCTCTTGCCCCGCTTTTGTGCTACTTAACACGCAAGTTTGCTCTTCAGCAACTAGCGACATACTTTGTCATATTTTCACGTACTTTTTTGTGTGCCTAGAAGAGCGAGAGATAGGCAAGAGGCAAAAAGCAACAGCAGAAAGTGGCTAAAGAAAGGACCGAATACAAATAAGAGTGCACTCAAGTAATACGCTTCATAATTTTTATTGTCAAGCCTTTTGGGGTTTGAGCTCTTGGCGTCGTTGTTGGCCCACTCGACAACAAAAGCCGCCGAGCGCTTGGCATAAAAGAAAAACAATAAAGCAGAGAGAAAGGCGCAAAATGAAGTGGCGGGGTCGGCGGCAGTGCAGATTGCAACAAAGCAGAACAACATTTTTTCAAAGCAGCATAAATTTTATAATATACAAAAAATCAATGGGGCAAAAACAAAAAAAAAAATGAAAAAGTACGCCAAAGGATTACAGGCAGGACATGGCTGCATCGTGGTCCGAGGCCTGACGGCCGCGAGGGTCGAGCGTTCAGGACACTTCTTATGCAAAGCACTGTGGCCCACTAGCGCAGCACATCAGCAGCAGCAGCCATCCCGTTATACGACGTGCTGCACCCTTTTTGGCCAAGTCATGCAATTAACTTGCCCGGCAAATTCTCTGATTTCATTTTCGTGTTCATTGTTTTTGTTAAGTTGTTGCCATTTCTAGTGCTTTTTGCGAGTTAATTTTAATGCACACATATAAATGAATTTATATATGTATATGAAAAATCTGCAATTCATTGTACTCTCCACTTGTTGGCGCAATTAGTCGCGACTGCACTTTGACGTTGTCTTTGATGTTGTTCGCGTTAAATTGGGCTAAGTACTAGAAGCGGCATACTTGACCGAAGAGCCCATAATTGTTTAATTATGTGCTGGGAGTCGGAATGCAAATAAAAGAAAAGACTTTAAATTGTTTCATAACGATGAAAATGTCAAAAACGTATCTATTTATTAAATATACTTGGTCTTCGCACAATTAAAAATTGCTGTTTACGTAACTTTCTCGGATATCTTTCATTTTGGTATCCTTTTTTTCATTTGAAACTCGAATGAACGCAGCTCCATATAATTTCTTTGTTACATGAAAGCACATCAGAGATAGCCTATTTTATACCAAAGTAATCCATATCTGCAATTGAAATTTTAAACGTATGTTAATAGAACTATTTAATACGTGCTCAAAGATATCTATATAGAACATTTGGGCAGTAGACTAGCTAAAAATACACAAGAAAAATTGTTTTTTTTTTTGGCAAGAAATGCCAATAAATTTGCTTTATTCTTCTCTGGGGTCAAGATTGATATTAGCATAGGAAACATAAATTTTTAGTTTCTTCGAGAAACTTGTTGAATTTTCGAAAATTGAAGGATAAAATGTCAACCGAAATTGTGTTAAAACCGAAAGTGGTGTGCAAGAGCGTGTGCTTTTGGGTACCATGAGATGAAATGCCTAATAGCCTATACCTCCATAAATCATGCGATGGCGAAACTCAGCCCAGGTATTTCTGTGAGTGTGATATGTAGAATACGGTGCAATAACTTTCTTTGAAAGTGTCCTGCGGAAACCTGGTCGACGATTGGTCACTCGCTTTAGCAATTCCGCCTCCGCTTCGAGCTGTCGCGCTTTATCGTCTTCCTTCTTGTCTATTTCAAAGAGCACCTTTCCTACAGTGCCCACGTCTTCGTTTTCATCTTTCTGTGCAGCTTTCTCAGTTGACTCAACTTGACCTTGAGTTGAATCCTCCAGCAACTGGGCATTTGACTTATCCTCTTTATTTCGTTTCGCACATACATGCCTTATCGCCAAAAGGTTGCGTTCTGGAGTTGTGCTCATTTCGTTAGTGTAATTCATATTCGCATTATTGGTGCCAATTTTAAAGTTGCCCAATTTACGGTTCTGTAGCAGTAGTTTAACAGCCGCATAACTTTCCTCGCGTACTGGCCACGATCGGTTGTGGCACATATGGATACCCATGCCCAACGCATCATGACTTTTTTCCAATAAAGTTCGGCCACTAAAATGGCGCTGATAGACCTTCACTGTTTTAGTGACACGTTGCACAGCCGAAACGCTCTTGGATGGCATTCTCGAAATTGTTTCACTGAAAGTTTTGACGATACAAATTCATAAATAATTGTCTATTGCCAACTTCTGGAAAAATCTCAAAACAACAATTTATTTTTCGAAAAATTTAAATTTTGTTAAACTATTAACGGCGAGAAGTGAGGCATTGAACTGTACAACTGAATACTCATTATATTTCTTTTCAGGGACATTCAATGCAGCGACTGCTTAGAATTCAGATCTGAATGTAAATCAACAAATCTCCATACGGAAGTAAACAACTGTAAACAATGAGACTTTACATATAATAAAAGCACAAATACATAACGGCTTCTGCTCTCTATTGTTCTATTTAAAAATGGTGATGGTCAAAATTGCATAATTGAGGTATTTGTTGCTGCAGAATGTGCCGTGTTAGCATTAATGTCATAAAATGTGGTATTCAAATAAGTTCACTTTACTGGTATTAAAACTTAGTTTAAGAGCGGGGATCACAATGTTAGGAATTATAGTTAAATATTGCATTTGTGTATCAAAGACGCTATTCTATCAAATAGCTGGCTTGAGTCAAATCTTTCATATTGAAGCAGTTCTCAGGGTATTACAACTTTGCTTTATCGAAGCTGAGCGTCAGTCCTTGTTATTTATTTATTTATTTGTGTATTTATTGCCAGCAGAATTCAATTAAAAACCTACTTGAGTTGCGTTCCAAACAAATTACAAATACATACACGACAATGCCAAAATATTGCCCAAAAAAACAATTTTCCTCGTCACATGAACAATTTATTAATTCTGCAGCAGGCAACAGACACAGCAGGCAAAGCGTTTAGGGCCTGAGTTCTTTTTGGCTTGCAGCCTTCAAGGCCTATGCAAAATTTAACGCAATTTTGAGATAACATAAAGCCTGCAACAACAACGTCGCCAAGAAATTGAGTTAGCACACAATTACAACAACAATTATGAGTTGCATTTTTACAATAAATGCGAATACAACAAGCAACTAAATAACTTGTCGAATAATGTATGCACTTCAAAGCACAAAGCTTGGATATTGAAAATATGTGTAAATAATGATTTAAGAAATTTTAAAAGAATATTCAGTAAATGTTTATGAGGATTAGGTTATATAAGCATTTAATAAGTAATATAAGTATATATAAGTAAGTTATATTTATTCATTTAATATATATTTATGAAAACAAAGTTTTATCTAAATAAGAATATAATTTTTTGCAAACATTTTGGAATTTCTAAAGCATTTTTTTTTCAAAAAAATATAAAAAAATTATATAGAAAATATTCAACATTAACGGAGAACGTAAAGCGCAGTCTTTTCCTGTCTTCCTGCCTTAGCTAACAAAAGCCCGTTATTATACTAAATTAACTATTATATTAAGTGTATAAGAATTGAATGCTTCTAAGCGCAGACAGGATTTAACTTAACATCTATAAGATAGTCAACAAGGAAAAGGTCTGTTATTTTTGCAATTATTATTTTATGATATCATCAATTCTTCAAATAACTAAAACTCCATTACTTAAAAGTATTTTAATCAAAAAATAAGAACATTTACAAAACAATTAATGAAAGCATCTAAAAGTTCAACGGACTCTTCAAGGGTTAGTGTATAAAATGTCAGTAAATTTGATTGTAGTTGGTAAGAACTATGCACAGTGCTGTAGGCTGCAATGCTGGAAGAATGGGGACTGCAAGTTTGTGCGTTGTTTAAATGTAGGCAAAACATGTCACAGCTTTTTAATTTAAATGCAAATTAAGGCTTTTGTCAACACTCGAAGAAGCATCAGGCTGTATAGCAACGGCAGCTAAAGAAACTGCTGAAGCATCAAATGGCTTCAAGGCCAATACCCAGAGAGCTGTCTAGCAATTGTCGAGCTGCTAACAACTGCCAGCATATCACATTGCAGTCAATAAACACCATCCGTCCTACCGAGCGCACACCGCGCCGCCCACGTACCGCCACAGCCAGTCGAGATGGGCCGAGATGCGAGTGTTTACTCCGATGCCATACCGCTGGCCACAGGCGCGCCCATAGCTGATGATGCCGAGTAGAAACATGCGGGATCGTTGACGTATGATAACCGGACCGCCCGAATCGTACTGACACGAATCTTGGCCCAATCCCAAATAGTCGTAGGTGCACACCTGATTGGGTGCTATGGTCGCATTATACCGTACGCTGCACTCGGCATTTACAATTGTCATCAAGCTGGCCTTTTGCAGCGTATTTGATTTGGACAAGCCAAAGCCCAAAGTGCCCCAGCCAGCAATATCAACAATTTCGTAGGTTTCCGCGCTAAAAAGAGTTAAGACAGTTAAATGAACATTTAAAATGAGATTTTAATTGTGCCGCTTCTTGGTAACAATATATATATTCTGTGCTGAACTACCGTTGTTATGATAATAATAATATTGTTTTCTTTGTACTTATTAGGCTTAAAGTAAAGATAAATTATTTTAAGACCCTTTAAGGCTTATAAATTTATAGTTAAGTCTTCAATAAATTCTTGTGTGCTACTTAGCTTGAAGGCTAATAAGATAAGCCAAACTAAATGAATAATAAAAAAACAGATTTGTTTTCGTTTTCACATTTGAATAAAATTTGACTTTGTTAAAAGAAGTGACTAAATTGAAACCAGGAATCTTTAAGAAATAGGCTTTATTATGTTAATAATTCGAAGTGGTTTTATCACTAACTTAAGATAATCAGACTGCTTGTTATAGTATAATAGAAGAGTATATCGCAGGGTATAGACTGGCATATCGTATGGTACATTGTAAGCTATTTTTAAAAGTATATCGTAAGGTTTATCGTAAGGCATGTCGTAAGGTATTTAGTAACGAAAAAAGGTAAGGTCTAACATAGGTATATCATTAGATATAAATTAAGGTCTATCATAAGGTATTTGATAAGATATATCGTAAGGTCTATCGTAAGATATATAGTAAGTTATATCGTAAGGTATATCGTAAGATATATTGTAATGTTTATCGTAAGATATATCGTAAGTTATATCGTAAGGATTATCGTAAGATATATCGTAAGTTATATCGTAAGATATATCGTAAGTTATATCGTAAGATATATCGTAAGTTATATCGTAAGGTTTATCGTAAGTTGTATCACGTGGTATATCGTAAGGTATATCGTAAGGTATATTGTAAGGTATATCGTAATATATATTGCAAGGTTTATCGTAAGCTGTATCACGTGGTATATCGAAAGGTATATCGTAAGGTGTATCGTTGGAAAATTGACTTTAAAATGTACTTGTTTAACTCACTAAGTGTTCTGAAACACAATCAAGTACTCACAGCTGTGTTTGTCCAAAGGGCAGACAAATGGGCGCCACGCCGCGTGAAAATTCAATGGCTGCAACGGTCCGGAGCAAAGCGATGTCATTGGAATCTCCAATGTTGTTGTAGGCTGGATGAGCTATAATGTTTTGTATGGCATACTGAAGGGCGAATATTGATTCGCTGGCTGTGTAGCAAACGCATAGGATTTATAGCAGTTCTGGTGTCTCAACGGAAGCACTTACCACTGGTGAGATCGTGATCACCGACTAGGGCTAAAATACGATTGGGCGATCGCTGGGTGGTGCAATGCGCTGCGGTAACTATGAAGCGATCGCTAACAATGCTGCCGCCACAGAATATGGGCTGATTGGAGCTAACGTCACGAAGACCCACTGTTGAGGGGAACTCGTGTTTGGTTGCCTCAACGCCGTTCGTGATGCGCGTCGGCTGTGACCAGCCGCAGTCGCAAGCTACTCGACGTGCCACCGCTTGGCAGCTTAGCCTGGCTCGTTGCTGTGTGGAGGCGCTGTTCGACTGGTAGGCTAAGGCCAGGCTTTGGTAGTTGGAGGTGCGACTCAGTTGACCCATGCGACAATATCGCTCCGCATCCCGAAATTGAATATCTCCGTCACGCGAGATGAACAGAATTTTGGACTGACAGATGTCGGGATACTGAAATCAAACCAGTGTAAAAAGCTCGAGTCCCAGCAAGTATTCCTTGAAAAATCTTACCACTTCGAAGCGACAATTCACTTGGATGACGTGATTGGGCGGTGCTTTTAGCAGATAACGACAATTGCTACCCGCTGGCAGAGCACTTGGAAAATTGGAGCTAGTTATATTGATGGGCTGGTTGGTCTGCAGATTGTACTGCCAGCTGCATTGCTGTGCGTCTGCCAAGGCGAGTAGCAGCAGTAGAAACCAACTGGCAGATTGCAACTTCAACATTCCGACAGAATATGAACTCAAGTATCATAAATGCAGACTGCACTGGCTCTTATATCTGATTTGGAAAGGCATAATGCAAATATATATGAATATGAGTATATATAAAAGCATATAAATATATTTCGTACATACTCGTCGAGCTGACGAAAGTAGATCAACAAGTCAATGTCACATAAGCTAGTCGACTGTTGACTCTGTGGGCTGAAGGTTTTTCAGTTACTGCAAATAAGAAATTGTATATTACCTCGACCCAGGCAAAAAGCTGTGAATGATGTAAAATATTCCAGTCAATTAATAAACGATCTTTGAATATATGTATATATGTATATATATGTATAGCTGAATAGCTGCAATAGCTTATTTAATTTTTAGCCACTATTTGATAAGCTCTTTAATTAGATCGATAAGCCTAAAATAATTTTCGACTAGTTTTAAGATTTTTTTAATTTTTTTTCAAAATTAACTTTTAATCTATAAGAAATTATATTCTTATTTTTTAACACCATTTACCATTTGACAATCTTGCTATGAAAATTATTATAAGTTCTTATGAATTAAAAGTGATTTTCTGATTGCTCGAATCAATCTGCATTTATAAGATTTCTTGTGACAGATTTATAAAAAAATAATCTAAAAAAAAAATCTTAATTTCTAAATATATTACTTCTTTTCCTTCCTTAATTATAAACACATTTGACATTATTATATATATATTTATTTTTTAATACATTTTAAAAATTGTTTGTTAGCTTAGTTTCAATTCAGATTTTAGAGTAGTAGACACAATTTTACTAATCAGTTGTTACATGCTGACTGCACAATTGGAATATCCAATATTTTGACGTATCCAGCTGACATATGATGTGACGCGAGTATTGACGCCCATCGCATAGGAGGTGGCGGCGCAGGTTTTGCCAAAACTGATGATGCCCACAAGGAATTGCCTGGAGAGTCGTCTGATGACTGGGCCGCCGGAATCGTACTGGCAGGAATCGCGCTTTTGTCCCAAGTAGTCGTAGGTGCATATTTGGCCAGAGTTGATTACTGCATAGTCATTGTAGTCCGTCTGGCAATCCGCATTTCTGGCCACCATCAAATTGACCTTCTGAAGCAGGCTGGCGGTGGGGCCGGCAAAATAGGTTGTGCCCCAGCCAATCACGTCGACGCCCTCATAGTCAAAGCTACTAGAACTGCACGGCAATTGGAATGGAATGAAGATTGCTTGAGTCATATGAATCGATTCTTTACTCACGTGCCCACAGGTGGCAAACAAATGGGACCCACGCCACGTGTCCACTTAATGTTCGACGCGGTGGTCAGCACAGCGATATCATTCACCACATTCGGCTCGTTTTGGTATTGACTATGCCGCAGCATCTGTTGTAAGGCATATTGAGCGTAATAAATAGAGCTGCTAGCTGTGGAGTATAGTTAATATTAGAATTTAGATATATATATTAGAAAGCGTTTCATATAACTTACGATTTTGTAGGTTGTTGGTGCCAACAATAGCTACGATGTTGGTGATCTGGCTGATCTGCAGAGTGCAGTGGGCAGCAGTTATAATGTGTCGATGGGAGACTGCGTGGAAAAATATAAAGAATATTATAATAAGGAGTTCAAGCAGGAGCTTAAGCATGTGGCTTTTAAGCTGGTAGACCATAAAATAGATTTGTTGATCAATCTTTAGAACTGAAAAGCAACTAAGTCTATCAGAAGACACTTCATTTCCCATGAATTTAGTAATAAAGGCCTTTGCCAATTCATTGTTCCCTTTCAGAATCTGTGCTCTAACTGTGTATCTATCTGCTAACAATAAATGTCGATTCTACGCAATTGTGGCTTAGTTTTTCTGGCTGCAGTCAAAGACAACCATTAACTTTATGGGCCCAATAAAACTAGAGTGATTGAGCTCGGCCTTTAACGACTTTCGACCTACCAATAGTGCCGCCACAGAAGGTGGGCAAGTTGTTGGTGATATCCTTGAGTGCTGCCATGCTAGGATATTCGTTTGCTGCGGCATTTTGGCCGTTCGAGATGCGCGCAGTTGCCGACCAGCCACAGTTGCAGCCCTGTGGCTGAACATTCAGCTGGCATCTAAATCTGCCCGAGCTGCTGCTCGTCGAGATGTAGGCGAAGGTCAGTTCTGTGAAGAGCGATTCCCGGTTGAAGGTGCCGCTGCCGCAGAAGTTCTCAGCGCCACGCATCAACAAATCGCCCTCGCTGTCCAGCCAGAAGTTATCCGTGGTGCATTGGCCATTGTTCTGGAAATGTGATTGGCAATCAGAATGCAGACAAAGTGGGCCTCGGTAAACCGCTTACCGATGGCAAATTAATGGTGCACTGTATTGTGATAGAGTGGTCTAGTGGGGCCGTGAATTTGTAGCGGCACGAAGTGCCAGCTGGATAGTTACTGGGGTAGTAGGGCGACTCGACGTAGGTGGCGCCCGCCTGCAGCGTATAGGTGTTATCGCAGCCTTCGAAGTAGCCCCAAACGGCGGGCAGGGCCAGCAGGCAGCTGACAAAGATAAGACAACGGCTCTGCATTGTGGCAAGACCTTTCGACTTCGCAGCCAGCACTCAACTGGGCGAAAATCAAGTGCCGCCCCCAACTAATACGAGCGGCTCAAAGGCAAGTAGGGGCAAAGCCAAAGCCAAATCCACTAGCATTTTGCTTTATTGTACTACTGTTAACTCTGCTGACAGCAGTTGATTAAACAGAATTATGAACATATTGCTTATACGCCGCGTGTTACAGTTTGCTTTGTATATCATTTCCATTTCAATGATTGCGCGACTTGCACTTGTGCAAATATAACGGAAATGCTGCCTTACCTCGACCTCCAATTGCAGTCGATTTTGAACTTGGCAGTTAACTGTCGCTTACAGCTAATAATTTTATGACTTCAGGCGTCATGTTATTCGCCCCCGACTTAAATGAGCGACAGCTGATAAGAGCGCAGCAATTTACATAGCCTAACAATAACCACTCGCGAGGGTTGTTCAGAAACAACATAATACATCAAGGTAGGTCTTGATCGTTTCATTTGAAAATTATATTGAGTAATGCAAATAATTCATTCATTAATTTAAAATGTATTTAAATGTGACTCTCATCATGCAAAAATTCGTTTGAGCAAATGGCAGTAAAAGATTCAAAAAATAAAATACCTAAAAAATTGTAAAAGTGAATAAATAATAATAAAATATAATATACATAATTAATCAGAACTTTAATTAAATTTTGAAATTCAATTCAATCAAATGCAAACTGATTGATTGAATGGCCCTTAAAGTGGCTTTTCGTTGGGCAAAGCTTAAATAACTATTGAGGCTTCTGTATGAGCGACTACAGCCAAATGCGATTATGATACGCTTCGTGACAAAAACAAATAGGCAATTTAAATAACAAGTTCTAATTAAAAGGTAAATAATAAAAAATGACAAACAGACAGAGAGAATGAGAGTGAGAAGGAGCGAGAGATAAACGTCGGCGTACAGGCGCGTTGTTTGAACAGATTTTAATTGATAACAATGCGAGGCTTAATTATCTTCTTATCAGGTTATTTAAAAAGAAAGCTAAGCAAATTACTTAATAAAAAATACTGCTAGGCATCCGAGACAGAGTTCGCTTTGTGAAAACAAAAGTGTAAACAAATTCTGAGCCAACGAACTTTTTTATTCGATTCTTTTATTTTGGGGAAAATTCTTTTCTATTTTTAGATTATGATAATAATCTTTATTAAGTTGATATACTTATTTCAGCTTTGGCTTTTATTTAATTTAAGTTTGATATTGCAAAACAAGTTTTTTGTTTATATTTAATTAACTTTTTACGCATGTAAGTTTCCAGCACAATATTTGTTCAAAAGACAGAAAGAGGCGGAGTACGCAAAGGGAGTATCCGACTAGCAGGTACTCTGAACTGAGCTGAGATGTTTCTTAAAATTTGAGTCAATTTCTTTCTATATAACACTTTGTCAGCTTAGATATAATTTCACTAGTGATCAATAAAAATAACAATCAAAATTTTAAGCAAGGCAAACGTTACTCATCTAATTTTAGGGCTGTTAGAACCGTTAGGGCTGCAGATTAACTTGAGCTTAGCTTGTAAAATTAAGTTGAATAATTGATTAAATACAACACAGAAATTGTTTCTCCTATTAGTAAGAAAATCTGAGCAGTTATAAATGCAGACGGCACTCCGAAGTGATAGATAAAGAACTTAAAAGCAATAAACTCTCTCTGATTACCTTCAAAACTCCCAGTTTTTGCTCATCTACTATCAATGGGTATGCTAAAAATACAAGAACTATATGAAAAGCCAGCTGGATGCCGTTCCCTTGTGCAGGGAATTCCCACAGTTGGTAACGCGTAAAAATCGAGCAAAATATAAAGCAATTAATGGCGAGAATAACGTGGACAATAAAACAGCTTCGTACAATGCCTAAATATGTGTGCGAGCTACAAAAAAAATTGAACAAAAATCAACCAGCAAGCAAATGACAAGAGGCACAACTCGCACGCTTAGCGCCTAAAATCGAGCTACAGTTTTTTGCCTGCCCAAAATGCAGTTTCCAACGCTGCGCTGTGTAATTATAATATAATTTTTTGTGCCAACACTTTGGAAAATGACTCGTTGCTGTTTTTTCGTCTCTGTTTCTCGCTCTCTCCCTCTCTGATTTTATTGTCTCTTGGTCATTCGTTATTCCGCTCTCTGTCTATCTATTGCTGTGGTATATAAGGCAGCTATGTTTATATTTTCTAGTGCCGTTTTTTGTGGCATTCGCTTTGCGTTTTTTATTCGCATTTGCATTTTCCACTAATTTGACTTTTGTATTGTTGTGGTCGACATCCCACCCAGCAGCCAGCTGCAGCGGCTGCTCCTCTCTGCTGCCCGTTGCCCGCCTTCGTATGGGGCGACGGTTATGTGTTAGAGTTTTTTTCTCGTCCTTTTGCTTTCCACCAATCAGCTCAACGCATTCTCCGTTTTCTGCCCAACTCTCTGTGCGTCTGTGTGTGTGTATGTGTAGTTGGTCGGTTGGGCTACGCACTTTTTGACTTTGCTTTGTGCGAGGGGGCTCGGTGGCAGGGGCAATGCATTTCCCATGCATTGGTTGGCTGTTGAATGCTGCCAGCAGGGGTTGGGTTTTATCTGTGTGCAGCTACATGTGTATGTGAGTGTCCATGTGTGTATGGTAGCACTGTGTGTGGCTGTGAGTGTAGGTGCTGTGGGATGCGTTTCGAGTGCCAGTCATTTGATGTGGCTGTGACTTTGTGGCCATATCATTAATTGCCGCCAGCTTCACATAAAAAGTAGCACACAAATTGATGGAAAAATATGTCATAGAATTTACAGTTAGACCTAAAATCAAAGAGTTATATAACTATTGAAAACTGAAGACTGGCTAATTAAATTTAACATTCGAAAATTAAAATGCTCATTGAATGAGCAGAGGGACATAGCTTACAAAAATATTAGTTAATGAAGAGCTAAATTTGAAAATTAATTTAGTTTCTTTTAGAATCTTAATCTTCAAGATCAATAGAACTAACCGCTGCATAATATCGGGTTATGCATAAGCATTATAAAAGTTGAGACCACGCTGAAATACTTATATGGAATTCAATTCAAAAACTACTATTTTGAAAGTCATATAATGATTGCTTCATAGATTCATAAAATATTTAGGTTGCATATCCTGAATTGTAATTGCATCAGCAGCTTCTAGTTTTAACGTTCAATGCGCTATTCGTTCAACTTTGCTCCTGTCCATTTCACTTACACATTCAACCCGTTTATCACTTTTTTCTCTCTCACACACACACATTCAATTTGCTGTACCTTCAATCACAATAAATCCATACAAATTTCCGTTATATATCCAGAGCCCAAAGAGGAACGACAGTAATAAAAACTTTCAAATGCAAACTAAGCAAATTTTAATTAATGAAAAATTGCAATTAAAAAAAACTTTTTTTTGTGTCCAGCTATCTCGCTTCGACACAGCCTCTGCAGCTGTACACAATTTTTCATTACGTGGAGACGCAGAAACTAAAAAATAGAGAAAAAAATGCAATCAAAATGTTGCCTAGTAAATGCATAAAAAACAACGCACAAATACAAACATACAAATATGTACGTATATGTGTACTTATATAAGTACCTATATACATATATATATATAAGTATGTGTGTGTGTGTATGCATGCGCATACATAAGTGCATGCGTTTGTATATGTGTGTGGTGGCGGGTGGGGCAGCTGGCAAAATAGGCGTCATCTAAGCAAGCAGTGCAGTTGCAGCGGCTGCGACTGCGACAGCGACAGCGATGCTGCTGCTAAGAATGCTGGCGTCGCTGCCAGCACTGCCCGATTAACATAAACACGCAAAAACATTAACACCGCCACGGCCGCAGCCACACAGCCAACCAACAGCCATCGGCGCCAGCGACGACGACGCAGTTAGAAAATAACAACAACAACAACAACAGCAACCAGCAACTGCATACGTCATACATAGATAACGCGGCGTATGTGTAATGCTAGAGCGAGACAGCATGCCGTTGTAGTTGTGCCTCAGTCTGCCACGCTCATTACACTCATTTCGTAAAGTTGTTGCTGTTTTCAGCTGTGGTTGTAGTTGGGTGCGCATAGGCAATTTTCCACATTTTCACACACAGGCGCTGCCAGCAAATGCGAAAAAAGTCGACACGCAGACGCCGGCTGCGCTGCTGCGCCATGTAGCGGCCGCACCCCCAAACCCAATCACAAAAACGCGTTAATAAGAAAACGTGGCGCAAAAAACTACATGCACACACACAGCCAAGCGGCACAGACCCCTGCCCAGCCCGCAGCCAGCAGCGCCTGTCAGCCAATCACAGAATTTGTTTACGAATCGCCCGGCAAAAGCAACACAAAGAAAATGTTGACGGCAGCGCAACGCGTTGGGCAAAAAAAAAGAGCGTCGCTCATTTTGTGCAATTTTTCCCACAGCTTCAAATGGCCGCCGCTCGCACTCGCTCTCTCTCTCTTACCCTCTCTCACACACACACTCATACACCGATACTGTGACTCTCTTGCGGCGTCAGCGCTGGCAGCGCCGCTTGGCACATTTTTTTTCTGTTGCCTTACATTTCCCACTGTTGCTCATTTGCGCTGCGTAAAAGGTAAAAGAAAAGCAGCCACGTGCGCTGCTCGCAGCGACGCCAATGTTCGCAGCAGCGTGCCCACCAGAAGAGTGCACATTAATGCTCTCTTAGCTGTGGCGCTCTTTGCTTGCCAACGTTGGCGCTTCGTTCAGTTCTCGCTTTGGGGCGACTCTGCAGCTCTGCCACTATGCCGGCCACATCGAGACTGTCGCTTGCAGCGTTATTTCTGTTTGACTTGTGTTTGTTCGAGGCGTTTGGTTGGTTGGGAAACGGTGTAAGCTAACGGCTTTTTTTCCTCTACCAATTTCATAATAGGTGTCATTTTTTCCAAGCTCGAACGAAGGCATTACATATACATATGGGCAATTAAATTACATAAACACGAAAATTTATACTAAAGATATTGCGATTTATTTATATCGATTGTCAAAAAATAGTATATATATTTATTTATAAA